GGATTTGCGCGTAAACGGGGAGTGGTGTGGCCCGGAAAAGCGGGCCATATTGGAAATCCACCCTCGAAATCGTGACAATATTCCGGCGATCTGCCTCCGCCCCACACTAAACCCCACACCCCACGATAATCCCCGAACTTTCGGCGGGTGTAAAAGGAGCCCCACGGATCGGCAACTTTATGCCGCGAATTCTGCTGTGTGGCTAATTACTTGAGCAGAGTTTGAGGTAATTTTTGAAGTTATGAAACCGAAGCCTAAGCCTAAACCTAAGCCGAAGCTGAAGCCAGGTCAAACCGACGCCAAAGCCAAGCCAAAGCCTAAGCCAAGTCTACGCCAAGCCCACTAAAATCCAAGCCCGTCGAGCCATTAAAGGAGACGGGAAGGCATAAAGACCTAGAAAGTCTTGCTATTTTAGGAACTCCGACAAGCTGCTTTTTGAGAATTTATTGGCAGCTTGGGAATCTGGCTTCATCCTGGCCTCACAGCTCCTCCAAAAACAGGGGATTTTGGCTTAGGATCTTGGCGTTGGCTTAGGCTAAGGCTTAGGCGAGGCGGGCACGGGCTTAGGCTTACGCTTGCGCTAAGGCTTAGCTTAGGCTTAGGATTCGGTTTAGGCCTCGGCATGGGCTTAGACTTAGGCTTAGGTTGCTTAGGCTTCGGCTTCGACCTTGGCTTAATCATAGGCTTAAGCGTAGGCTTAGGCTGACGCTTAGGCTTTAGCTTAGGCTTAATGTTGGCCCTTACTTAGGTTTAGGCTTAGCCCTAGGCTTCGGCTTAGGCTTGGCTTAGGCTTATTGCAAGGTTCAAGCTTCAGCCTCCCCAACCATCATTCCGCCCTTTTCAAAAGGCCCGCAACTGGCAGTGAATTCCGGGGAATTCATCCCCTCGTCTGGCCTATGGAATTGAATTGACGACCCAAAAGGGCCAGGGCCCCGATATAGGCAGTCGTTGTCTGCCTGTGTGTATGTGGTGTGTGTGATAGATTGAAGAGTCAAATGGAAAAGGCCCAAATTGAGTGCGGGCACGATGCCCTCCCCACCGGGCCCTACGTGGTCTGCCGTATTCTCTCGTACTGCCAATTTTGATCGTCCACCGGATCGGGGTGTACTCGTGTATTTATGGAATTAAGGAGTGCCTTGTGTCTACACCTGTCCTCATCTTGGCAATTTGCTAATTAGGGCCCTTCTTGGGGGCGCTGGGATTGACCTACGGTAATCCGGGCTTGGCTGTTTCCCCAAAAATCGCTGCTAGCTTGTTATCTATTTTCCCCTAAGAATCCCTGCTAACTACCCCGGTCCTTTTTGTGAGCTAAAAGTCTCTGCTGGTTCGTCTGCTCTGCTTTTTCTAATTTTCCCAAAGAATCTCCGCCAGTTTTCCAATTCTCTCACAATCTCTGCTCGTTGACCCGCCCTGAATTCGCAATTTTCCTCAAAGATCTTAGCCTGCTTGCCCACTTTGCTTGCCTAACTCGGTTAGGCTTAAGCTTAGGTTCGTTTAAGCTTATGCTACATTGTAGCTTAGGCTTCGTTGAGCTTCGCTTCGGCTTATGACTGGACTCAGACTTAGGTTTAGGCTTCGCTAAGGAGTAGACTTAGGGTCAAACTTCGTTTAAGCTCAGGCTTCATTTGTACTTCGGCTTTGTTTGGGCGTCGCTTGGCTCAGGATTAGGCCGAGGCTTATGCGTAGACTTTGGCTTAAGCGTGGGCTCAGATCATAAACGCATTAATGGTAAATTCTTTCCGATTACCATTTCGATTCCAGTTTCGATGCCAGGGTCTCTATTCCTCGATTCGGTCCTCATCGCCGCCAGCCGGGCCCTTTTTCCTCCCCCTTTAATTAAACCTCATCAACGGCGGTCGGGGGGTGGCTGTGGCTGTGGCTGGGCCTCGCTGCCCTCCCTTTGTGCGATGACCGAATGTCATTCAACCGGCTGTAGGGGAGGAGGACGAGGAGGAGAAGCCCATTCTGCACACCATACATTCACTGCTGTGTCCATGGATTCCGGCCACGCATCAGTACCGTGTCCATAAAATGGGCGGGTAAGGCGTGGTTATCGATTTTTTTAGAGGCTACCTGCTTAGGCTTGGGCTTAGGTTTATAGGCTATCCCCTAAGTCTTGGCTTAGGCTTAGGTTTAGGCGTAGGCCTAGGCTTCGGCTTTCGTTAGGCTTAGGCGTAGGCTGAGGCTTAGGTTAGGCTTAGGCTTGGGCTTCGGTTGCGGTTCAAGCTTCAGCTGGATTTCAGCTTAATCGTGTGCCTAGCTTCAGCCTCTAGGCCTCTTTCGGAGGTTTCGTTTTGGCTCTGACTTGCGTGGCTTAGCTCTGGCTTAAGCTTTGACTTAACTCTCGAACAAGCTCCTTACCTCGTCAAAAACCCCTGCTAGCCTGCAAAAACGTGATTTTTATGCGCATTTGCTAGCTCGGTTGCAGAGAAGATTCCAAAATGATTTTTGCTATTTTGCCTAGGAGCCTTTTAGCCAATTTCGCAAACCATCGTCGCTAGCTTAGGAGCCTTTTTGCCAATTTCGCAAATGATCTTTGCTATCCTACCAGTCTATGCCGAATTCTAAACCAAAAGTTTCCCCAAAAACCTCAGCAAGCCTTCGCTAGATTCCATTCAACCCTGCCCCAAATCAATTGTCCCATTCCACACTAATTCCACGTACCATTTCCACCTGCCCGGGGGTCCGCTGTGGGCCCTAAGCCAGCCAGTGCCTTCCCCGTGCTCCGGCTGGCTTGCCGCTTGCCAATTTCCGCTTTGCTACTAATTTCCACCCTCGCACTCACATCCTCATTCCGATATTCTAGTGCGAGTTTCGTTCTCGACTAGTTTTACTATTTAAATTTCTCGAAAATGCAATCAAACATTTGTCTGATACATCTTCTTTAAACTCCCAAAGGATCTCTGCTAGCTTGCCGCTCTTCTTAGGGCCTACAATGTTTGCTGGTCGGCTTTTCGGAGGTTCCGGAAGGATTTTTGCTAGCCTATCTTGCTACTTTTTACGATATTCCAAAAACAAAGCAGATCTTGCCTCAAGAAGTTTTTTAATCTTCTACGAATCTCTACTAGCACGCCCTACATTCATTTAATTTCGAAATAGTCTCTATTCAGCAGCGTATGTGGGTTCGACGTTACGATACGATGCAGTACGCTCCAATGCGATATGTACGCCACGCTACGAGACGATGCGATACGTTACGTCACGATACGATACGATACCTTACGTTACGCTCCGATGCAATACGATACAGTACGTTACAATACGATACGATACATTATGGCCACAATACGATAAGATACGATCCGATCCGATACGTTACCATACGATACAATACGCTACGATACGTACAATACGATCCAATACAAGGCGATACGATACGATCGGATAGGTACGAGACGCTATTCTTTGCTACGATGCATTCTCGTACGTTACGTTACGAAAGATCCAGCAGGATACTCATGCCAAAATTACGTTAGTAAGCTTACCCGCCCTTGCGACACGCTCCAATATGTTTCTACGCTTCAAAATAACCGCGCGGCAAATACGCTCATACTAGACGTTGTGCTACGCTTAACGCTGTTCCCTACGTAAGGATACGCTAGGTACGCAAGTTTACGCGGTCATACTATGCGTGGCGTTACGTACTCCGTGCTATCTATCCCAATCCCATCCCCATTCCCCGCCTTATAAAGTGTCCTGGGGCGATCGGTATTCTCCAGTTAATAGCACGCCCACCGACTGCTGTTATTGCTCGAGAATACTCATTGCCCGGGGTCCATCCAGCTGTCACCGTCCCTTTAAAAACCGAGGCTACGGGATGCAATTACTATGTTTTTTTAGGTAATTTTAGGTAATTTATATGCCTCAAATCCCAATTTTGAATCGACCTGTATTTTTTGATAAATACTGTAGCTCCAAATTTTTCATTTTCTATAGCATTTATCGTTCATAATTCAATCGAAAAATACCCGTGAGTATGAATGTATTATTACTCATAGTGATATTAATAATTAAATATCAATATAATAAATGCGACATATTCGAAACCACAGTTGCGTCAATAGTATACGAGCGGAATACGAATAATTTGAAGCGTTGCGTAGTCGATACTCAGGGTTAATGTAGCTGCGGGCGTGGCCCGGTGCCACTCGCGTCGCTTTGAGCATAGCGGAATGAGTCGGACTCCACAAAGGGGCGGCGTTTTCTGAAGAGTATTGGTAATCATAGGCTTAGGATTGGGCTTAGGCTTAGGCTTCGGCTTAGGCTTAGGCTTAGTCGTAGGCTTAGGAATAGGCTTGAGCTTACCGGAATGTAGTTGCTGATAGCGTATTCGAAAGACAACACGGCCAAACGATCAAATTCCAGTCGATCGCGAAGAGATCTTGCCAGCCGGATACACCGGAAACGACGACACACACGAGGGTGAACACCTAAGGTTATTATAGTTTACCTTTTTCTCCCTCTCTCTCTCTCTCTCTCTCTCTCTCTCTTTCTCTCTCGCCGCTTACCATTGTCAAAAACAGCGGCACAAAATCCAATGGAAAATCGGCCATCGTGTTGTAGAAAACACCGTGCTGGCCGTCGTCCAGGATTTGGTACTCGTCGAAGAGGTGCGCCGTGCAGTTGTTCTAAAGTTTTGAGATCGCTTTCTCTCGCTCTACCTGTCTCTCTCTCTCTCTCTCGCCGCCAACCTCAAGTTTTGGCAGCGGATTCTTGGCGATATTTGCCCAAAATGTCGAAAATATCAGGGCTCCGCAGAGCGCCAACCCGGCGAAGCAGCCCTAAAATTGAAATTGCATTTTTGAGATAAGCTTAGGTTTAGGCTTAGGCTTTGAGTTAGGCCTCGCCGTAGGCTTCGGCTTAGGCCTAGACTGGGCATATTCTTAGGCCTACCTTCAAATTCGTAAACGGCAAAAAGTATCCGCATGCAAAGCAGCCGGTCACCAGCGCCGCGAAAGATCTATAAAAATGCCAATTACCGTATCAACAACGAGCACTTA